AGAAGGCACTTGTTCCGCCAGGTCATGGGAGCTGAACTGCCTTTTTTTTATGTCCCGTGTCGGCCTGTTACTCTGACATCGTGGGGTGGGCGGGTGGGACCAGCACTGCACATCCCTATGACAGGGTGTGCTTCTGCGCTGTGGGTGTAAAAGAAAAAACGAGCACGGGTTTTGCATCCCGCTAGTGGATTCAAAATTCCCGTTCTTGTGAAATTTGTGTTGCACATATGCTCCAGGATATTATATATATATATTATGTTATATATATATATATTATAAATTATTTTCACAGAAGTGAGACTCCATTTTTCCCGAAGGAGCTGGAAGGTATCCAAGTTGGCGCAAAGCGCAGTGAAACTGCACACTAGTTTACAGCGCCTGAGCCGGCCCTTGGGCCCCTCTCCCGTAGGAGGATCCTCCGGCCGCACTCTTCTGCGCGGTGGCGGGGTGGTGGAGGCGAGCCCAAACATGCTACGCACAACAAAGAGTTCACTTGTGAAAAGCGCGTGCTACGCTATACGCAAGCTGCGCTAGGCACTGAGGGTATTCACAGAAGTGAGACTCCATTTTTCCCGAAGGAGCTGGAAGGTATCCAAGTTGGCGCAAAGCGCAGTGAAACTGCACACTAGTTTACAGCGCCTGAGCCGGCCCTTGGGCCCCTCTCCCGTAGGAGGATCCTCCGGCCGCACTCTTCTGCGCCAACCTCCCAAGCCAACTGTCCCGCTCAGGAACAGCAACCTGGCACCGCCACACGCCAAACAGAGGCCAAGGAACGTTGAAGGGCGGCAGTGGGAGGGGAAAGAGAAAGTTGCACCAGAGTGGCCCGGGCATCGTCGATGTAGATGCGCGCTGTTTGTGAATCCTTCCATCGTCCCCGCACCATGGTGCGGCCAAGACTTTGAGTGCGCTGGTAATATTCGGTAGCTCCTCCCCTCCTTAAAGAGTACGGGAGGAAGGCCTGTGGGTCAAAGCCGATGGCTCGGACGAGGCACCCAAACTCTCTGCGGAACGCTACCACCGAGCGGGTGTAAAGAAGGGAACTCGGGCGTACCCGGTCCAACAGGAAAGAAATAACTGCCACGAGGCCCGGTTCTTTTAAAGAAAGGGATTGCTGTAGACCTCGAGAGGTCTTCGAATTAACAATGGCAATGATGATGGTGCCTTCTTCCGGGAAGATGCGAAGGTGCCGAATCGTCAAAGAGAGCAGCTCCATTGTTCGCAGGAAGAAGGCAAAACCCAAAAGGATTGACAGAGCCAAGTCAGGCCGCCCAACTTTATAGGCTGCACCTGCCATAGCCCTGGCCCCTAGCCACGTCATCGGGCTGGTCCGTTGAGGCAAATGGACCCGCTGCCAATTGCGCAGAAAAAGCTGCGAGGTCAGCAGATGAGGCTTGCAGCGAGGGTAGAATCGCTTCAGACCACTGAGCGTCCACCCGGCCAGGGTCACCGTTTCACCTTCCTGGTAAAGGTGATTGATGTATTCTGCAAGCTCCTCATCCAGTTCCGGCATAGTGCGAGGAAGCCTGCCCCGTAGGGCGTGAAGGTATTGAAACAGAGCCGCCACTGCATTTTCATAAGACCTCCTGGTCTTGGCCGTGATCCCCAAGAACCGCAGGTGATCATTGCGGTTCGTATTTCCTCGACGCACCATCTGAGAAGTTCCACTTGCTGATGGTCCACAAGCACATGGGGATCAGGCCTGACGCTAAGGAAAGGCTGGCGATGCGGCGGCTGACTCTGTTTAACCTTTTCGACGACGACCTTCCCTTGCCGAGCACGTAGAAGGAGACCAGCGAGTCGACAATACAGAAAAATCTCTTGCCGAGCTCCTCGTTGTTTCGTGCCCTTCTGCGCAGCTCCGTGAGGAACGCCGTCATCTCTAGCACGTTGATGTGCTGAGGCTCCCGCCACTTATATGACAGGACGTCCTTCCAGTGCCAGCGAAAAGCTGGATAAGGACCAGGGCGGTGGCCCACGACATCTTCACCCCGGTCGGTGAGTCTGACATCGCAGCCCGTGTGGTAGGCGTGGCGAAGGAGCCAAACCAGGTGCTCCTTTTCCTTGCCCGCTTCCATGGTGTCCAGGAAGGCGGTGCATTGTGCCACCGCCCAGTCCACCGCAGCTTGCTGCTGAAGGCCTTTGGTAGCACCCTGCAGCTGGTGGTGCAGAAGCCGCTCCAGGCTCCGAGGAAGAGACCCAAAGGGTTCCGAGTAGAGCGAGTTGAGCTCGTCGTAGATTCCCTCCGCCATCACCAGGCAGAGGCCCCAAGGGTACTCAGAAAATTCATCCTCATCCTCATCCTCTGCCGGGTACTCAAGGTGAGGGTGGCCGTCACAGACCGGCTTGTGGAGCACCGCGTGAAGCGACGCGGAGTTGTGCAAAACGCACAGCCAAGTCTCTCTTGGGCTTCCATGGCAGCAGGTCGAGAAGATCGAGTGGTACCAGCCTTCTCCTTGGAGAGCTTTGATTTCCGGGAGGCTCCACAGGTAGGAGTTATACGGGTGCTCCAAAGAGGCGAACCTGCCTCTCCGGTTGGCCTCCACCAGTCCCCGTGCTGCCCGCTTCACCGTGGCATTGGCTTGCCTCACCGCCACGCTGAGGTGCTGCTTGAGCTTTGGGAGCCCCTCGGGGTGCCTGGACAGCCCTTGGTCGGTTTAT